TATCGGAATATGAGATATGTTCAAGGTTTTCAAATATATTAAAATCAACGTTTGTAGAAATAGCTTCACAAAGGGAGCAAATGTATGAGTCCATTGGCAGGTATAATAGTACAAATGAGAGTATGAAGGAAGGAAACACTGTAGTCATTAGGAATAAAAGAGGTCTAGTAAATATAATAGGAACAGCTATGAAAACTTTATTTGGTGTATGTGATGATGACTGTACAAGAGAAAATGAGAATATTCAGAAAATCGAAAATAGTAATGTTAATATGTTATATATATTAAAAAATCAAACCACTGTAGTAAAATCAGCAGTACAAGGAATAGGTAGTGCCTCTATAGAAATGAATAAATTATATATTGAATTAGGTGAAAAGCAAAGTATGTTGTATAAAAAATTAAATGAAGCAGCTAACCATACACATACTGTAGAAACTTTAGTTTTGAGTAATTGAATACATAGTATTTTTACTGCTTTACTAACACAATTTTCTTATGAGACAACAACTATAAGTGCTATAATAACTTCGGCAAGAACAGGAATTCTACATCCAAGTTTAGTAACTCCCAGGGAGTTAGCAAAACAATTAACACAAATTAAATTAAATTTACCCATTAACTTAAATTTACCCATGGGAACACAGCCTAGCGAAATTTACGAATTAAGTAAAATAACTAAGATGGCAGTGTATTATAGTGGAAATCAAATAGTATTTTTAATAAAAATTCCATTAGTAACAGAACTTGAACTAACCTTGTATAAAATCTCACCAATACCACATCGATTTAATAAAAATCACAGTATAGTTTTAAAACCTGAATTTCAATATGTAGGAATAACAAAAAATAGACGACAATTTACTACTTTTACAGAAACACAATTGTTAAGTTGTACTGAAACAGAATTATTTAACATATGCCCATTATTTCTACCAATACAATATGAATCGGTTAGGCAACCATGTGAAGTATCATTATTTAAAAATCCAGAAGTTTTATCAAACAATTGTGAAGCAGGAGTAATAGTAATCACTAAAAATATATATCATAAATTAAAATATTCAAACACTTGGTTATACACAACTATTAATGACACATTAACGATAACATGTCAAAGGGAAACAGAACCAAATATATTAAAAATTCAAAATCAGGGAATAATATATATAAATCAGGATTGCAGAGCATATGCCAATGATATAGTTTTAAATCAAACTAGAGAAATAAAATCAAAATTTTATGTAAATTTTATACTTAAGTTGGGCGAAGGTAGCTTAACGATGAAAATTCCTAAGGCCATACCATCTTTAGAAATACCTAAATACAAACACAAGAACGTTTTATTAAAATTAGATAATGTTCATGAATTAGCTCATTCTCTAGACGACATACAACTAATGGAAGAAGATGAATTGGATAGACAAAATGGACATGTTAAAACGAACCATCATTATTTAATATATGCTATAATAGGACTATTGTTATTTTCATTCATATTAATTTTAATCTTATATGTAATGTTTAAATGTAATATGGATTTAAAGAAGAACGTATACTAATAGATTACGACCAGTACAAAATAAAGAATATTATATGAGTGAACCTAAAAGTATGAGTACTTTTTATAGAAGCGAAAACATAGAATTAAGGCCAGATCAATCATATGAGGCACAGAGACCTATAGTAAAACCTGTGCCCTTTGAAAGTGCTAGCAAAAGTGTTATTCGTGAGGAGATAATAACAGATACACCAGATAGGTTATCAATAAATACTAATCTACCATCTGTAATAGGTGAAAGGCAAATTTAAGCAAGTTTACAAAAAAATTATGACCATGTAAAAACATTTTAATAATAAATTGTATTTGATTAAAATATTTAATAAGCTAATATATATGATGTTGTAGAAAGGACACGCATAAGTTCATTATAATGGACTTTGAATTTTCCATGATTCATAAAACTAGTATGGTGCTAATATCGGGAACAATATCAAACAGTCTGGACCGTTTTAAAATCAGAAAATTAGAGGGTCGACCATTGAATCTACCAGTGAATGAAGAGGTCAGACCTATGAGAGACCAAGAACTTCTGGTAGCGCAAAGGAAGATTAAACGAATTTTTAGTTGTAAAACGGAACTGAGAAACGCTTGCCTGGACCAATTAGAAAAAAGTCTAAGAGCAGAAGTTAATAGCTTAAATGTAAACTATATAACAAACTATATATTAAGGGACAATAAAATTAATGTTATAGTAGTATGGAATGGCAGCTCAGATAAAAATATTCTAAAAAGATTGGGTATAGTTCAATTTCCGATATTAAATATCATTTGCTGTGATAAACATTTTAATAAAAATTTTACAATAATATTAGAAAAATTAGAGAACAAACAGGTACTATTTGAATTAGAAATAGGATATTTTGCTAAAAGGGGAAGATTAATGAACCTGGAAGAAACACACAATAAAATATGTCATAAAAAGCATAAGTTAACACATGCTCATGATTCTCGCACAGACGTATGTATACTTATAAATTATTATGCTAACTAACCAAATAAGAATAAGATAATTTTTATTGTATTTAATGAGAACAAATTGTTGTAAACTAACGCAAATTTTATAATAACTAATCAAATATTTTAAATGTATCTAAATGAATAATATTGTAATCATTAACCCTTTGACTTAGCTGATCTGGTCAACTAAATAATGAATGTTCTAGTCAAATAAATTAGTAAATTTTATACATAATTATTCAATTATGTAATTGTCACTGTAAAGATAAATTATTAACCTTTATGTATACAATAATTTTTAAGATTTTGTAGTTCTACAAAAAGTAGCCCTACAAAACCTTTTTTTAGTGGGGACGTGTAGCGAGCTGTGACTATGACTTATAATTAGTAAATCCCTCAGGTAGTTATAAATAAACATGTGATTGACACGATATCACTCAAAGAATAAGAAGAACTCCATATATATATATATTAGTTGAAGGAGGCCTACGAAGTACCATAAATCATTGCGCGTGACCTCCAAACGTATGTATTCATAGATATATCACTACTCATATGAATATTATTAGAATAGTAGCATTAAAAGCGTTGTGTTGTCACAGAGATGACAACGAGCAGATAGACAAGGGACATCCGGTGAGTGCAGCGCGTGGCCGCCCACGGTATGACCTTATATGGTAAAAGTAGTAGGGTTCTCAGCAGGGATACGATCCAAGTATAGCCATTATAAATACGTCGCTCGAATGGGCTTTGGCAGACGGACCAACACCAACGACGAGCTAGGAGCTAGGATATGACAGTCACATCTCGCTAGTCTCCATTCTTTAATATAGTCACTTTGGACTTATAAATTTATTGTTTTTTGTCATAATCAAATAAAAGTATTCAATTTATAAAAAAAAGAACAACTCTTCTTATTTATTTACAACACCATCAAACGGACGTAGTCGGTTTGTTACAACTGCACCAACATATTACTCTGTGTGCCCATAGGCGTCCCCAGACATTTTTCTAAGAGGGGGCAAAATTAATTTAAAAAATAAATGAAAATTTTTTTATACATTTTATTTATAGTAAATTATTATATTTCGTCATTATTAAAATTAAAACATACAAAAATATTATTATACATCATTCTTTTTCATTAAATATAAATTTCAATCTCCGTGGACATTCTCTACCAAATTGTGTCAGATATTTTCAATAAATTTTTCTTTATTTTAATTTACTTTTTCTCTATGAACACTCAACATGCATATTCCATTCAGTCTATCATCGCCCATCGTTGATCGTAACAATGTTTAACGCGCCTTAATGTACTAAAAGAACGTTCTGCTGTACAGCTTGTAGCCGGAAACGACAAAAATATTTTCAAAGCAACAGCTATATTTGGAAAAAACGTACAGTTACGATTTAACAAATCGATAAAATCAATATCTTGGCAGTCCTTATTTTGCCAAAAACTGTACCAACTTTCCACTTCAGCTTGGAAATTATCAATTTTATAGAAATCAGCATTTTTTTCAATGCTTTCAAAATAAATTTTTTTCTCCAATTTCTTAAAGATGTTGGGGTGAAGATATTGTAGTAAAAATGCATTATCATTTTTTTATCAAAACGTTCTTTTATAGATTGTAAAATTGAATCAATATATGGTATAAAAATTGAAACTCGGTAATAATCTTCACAACTCTCAGTTTCATGGTTCGCTCTTAGTGACTGTTTCTTTACCGTTCTTGGACGTATAATGACAATATCTAAATCAATGGCGATCGATTTCCCTTCGTTAAATAATGTTTGGAAAATGTTATCTGTGTCATTTCGATGATTATCGAACAATATTAGTAATTAATTAATATGCTCACTGACTTTATATAGATCTACTGAGACGCCTTGTAACATATTTGTCACAGGTTCTAAAATAGCACTGTATTTTGCCATAATAATCATAGAAATTAAGAATGATGAATTTGAGGCCGCAGAATATAAGTAATGAGCTCGTTGCCTTTTATTGGAATTCTAATGTACTTCATTATTTGATAATGATTTCAAACTTGTCATTATTGAAATAAAATGTTCTGAAAATACTCTTATGCTCTTATATTTAGACGACCAGCGTGTTTCACAAAATAGTGGTATGTTAGGGATAAGTTTTCTTCTAAGCGTACTTTCACGGAAAAATCTTATATTATCTTTTATAGCTCCAGTAGTATTACGAATAATCATTATTTTATTTAAATCACTTATAACTAAATTTAACCTGTGATTAGAACAATGAAAAAATAACGCTTTGTTATATTTATCACGAATTAATTTACTAACACCTAACACCGCCTTCTTGTCCAGCCATTGTAGCACAACCATCAAATCCTTGCCCATAAAGTTTGTTTAAATTTAAACCACAGTCAGTCATAAATGATATAATGTTTGTAGCTATAGATTGAGCATTTAATTTGTCTAACGGAGTAAAACCTAAAAATTATTCCTGAATTTTTGGTGGATTTGAGTGTTTGTCTAAAAATCGAATTTCTATTGACAATTGTTCTGTTCCAGAAATATCTGCAGTTTCGTCAGCAATAACAGAAAAAGCATTTGCAGCGCTAGTTAAATTAACTATATCATTTTTAATTAACTTTCCACATATAGAAATGATTTCATTTTGAATTCGAGGTGATGTATATTTGGCATTTCCCGCATTCTCCGATATATGTTTTTGTAATAATTCATCACCTGATTCAATCCAGAAAAGTAAAAGATCATTAAATATGCCTGAATTTGATGTTTTTCCCCGTAGAGAAAGATCATGAGTTGCACAAAACAAAATGCTTGAAATTATTGGTTTTAATTTTTGTCTATTATATTCTATTTGTTTTCGTAACCCTGAATTTGTCTGTTCAAGAATATTTAATTTGTTACAATTCATAATATTTAAAAAATCATTTGCTCGTGCTGTTGACTCAAGATGCCATTGTGAAGATAGATGTGTTCGACTACAAGCATGGAAATCTTTATATTTTGTGAATGGTTTTATTATAAACCCTCCTTGTATACCTCTGTGAACATTTAGCTTAAATAATACACAAACTCGATAAAAAACTCCTTTTAAGCCTCCAATGGCCGAATATGATAGCCATGTATTATTCTCTTCCAGTCACATGTGCCTAAATGGACGACCATTTTCCAATTTAAGATAATTTTTAAAATTATATGAAGTAGTTGGTACCCACGGATTACACAAAATATCGAACTTTAAAGCATCGTCAATTTTTTACATTTGCCAAGTAGTGTCCTATATCATTTTTATAACAAGCCACTTCCTTGTTTTCAACATTTTCAACTTGGTCAGTAAAACTACCACCTTTACTCAAGTTAGTAATAGCAACTGTACTTGTGGAATTAGTCTCTATAGTCATACTTTTTGTATTATCTAACGGTCCATTAAGACTATCGTCTAATTTAGGTTTCTTAAAAAAGTTCCGTATGTCCATAATTAATATTATAAAAAGATTTTACCTTGTCCGCTTGTCGACATTTGTATATTTTATTTTTGCGAGAACGTGATGATACTCGTTTCGATCAAAAGCTGCGTTGGAACTAATGGGACTATGGGAATACCCGCGCGCCGCGTATAATAATAATGGCAGGTATATTATCATGTAAGTGACACGATAATATACACAATGTAACAGCAAACAGCTAATAATTTATTGCAATGTGAGCACTCAAAAAATACATTAAGATAAAATAGTCCGATTATTATTAATGATAGTTTTCATAGATAGCCGTCAGCCGTGCGTTGACATAATATGTTATGGAAACTTAGTAGACCAATTTCTAGAAACTAATTTATCATTTGGAATTTTACCAATTTCTGTGGAAATAACATTATTCCAGAGGGGGCAAGTGCCCCGTCTTGCCCCCCCCCCTGGGGACGCCCATGTGTGTGCCTCTTCCAACGTAACGTGCCTGCCTCTTCACATTCTAGTGTGAACAATCTCATGCATCCCCCTCGCTATCTTAAGTATATACATATATGGCGGGACGTTAGTACATAGCATATGCTACCTGAAATAATTCAACCACTTTATCCAATAAGAATGTTGAAGTCCGATATTAAAGAGCCTGAACATCTTATTAAAATTATGACCAAAACTAATAATAATTTTAAAAAAATGTGATCAATTATTATTTCATATTTTTAATAAATATGAAATGTGGTTTTTTATTTATTTACATTTTAAAGATACTTATTACATAGGTACATGGTGACTGGTACGTCAACACGTCTACAGTATAATATATATATATATTAGGGTGATTCAAGTTTATAGAGGCTAAACATTTTTTTGGGAAATTCAAAATGAGTACCCCCCCCCCCCCATTTTTTTATGTGATAAGAAATAACAATTCTGCGAAAATTTGGACTTGATAACTCAACCCCTTCACGTGCCGCAATAGGGTTAAATTATGGCCTAAAGGGGTTTTTTCAGTTTTTTTTAATTATTTTAAAAACTAAAACTTTTGCAAAAAAAATTTTTTTATTATAAATTATAGAAAAATATACTGCCTACAAAATATGTTATTATACAAATTCTATTTAATCCATTATTTCATATGGAAAAAACTATATAAATGCCTATGCCTAAGTGTAATGAAATATTTTGTTTCTACGTAATACGTATTCCCAAATATATGTGTTTAAAAACCAAATTAAGATTGTGACTTTTAACCGTAGTTGAAATAAATTATTGTACGTTTGAATTTGATAGCAATGTATATTTTAAAAACATTAGGTATAATGTCACAATTTATTTTTAACTCCGAATTATCGCGATAACAATGATTTTATCTATTATTAATTTATCGTCAAACCAGAATGTAGGTTATTGTGTATAATGTAGTCACTAGTCAGCATATTACAGTCATTTGTGTAACATTAGCTTTGTGATATTCAATATTTATATTTTTGTATTTTACGTAATTGTTTTTAATATGTCTAAACGAAAAATTTATTTAATAGAATCAATTAAAAATCAAATTACGGGTAGCAAATTACCATCAATTAAAGACTGTCTAAGTGTACTCTTTTTTAATCTGATGTTAGTTAAATTAAATGTAAACGACGGTGCCGCTCTTGTTATTGACGAGTGTTCAATTTATTGGAGAAAAGCAAGAATTCCAACTCGTGATCGTTTGAATTGCATAAAGAAATTAAAAAAAATTTACGAAGATTGGCGTAGCTTAGAGAAAAATGCAAAAAGAACTGTAGATTTATACAAGCAAAGAGAAAAAAACTTTGTCGATTGTCTAAATGATTTGTTTGATATATCACATGCTAATGCGGTAAACATGATGAAAAATGAAGAGGACATTGTATTGTTAAATTTACAAAGACAAAAAGGTCGTCCAGATTGCATGGTTGGTAAAGATTTAATATTGTCCAAGGCAGAAGAGAAGACTGAATCTCGTTCAATAAAAATAAATACAAATCTTACTCCGACTATTGAACTTAAATCTGGTATGTAAAAAATATTTAAATAAATTATAAAATATTTAAAATTAATATAAATGTGTGTTTGATGATAGTTAATTACGATAATTTGTCTACGAGTTCGGACGAAAATGAAGAATTCGAAAATTTGGAAGAACACGAAGAAAGTCATGGAGGACCGTCTAAAACTAAAAGGTCAAGAAAAAATTTAATGACATCCCGAGTTACTGCAGCATTGGATAAATGCAAGGTAAGTGACCGGGACGCTATTCACATTATAACAGCTTTATTGGAAGCTCTATCTTTAAACATAAATGATTTCGTTCTTAGTCGATCATCTGTTAAAAGAGCTCTCGAAATGTTACGTAAAGAAAGCGCTACCTCTATTAAGCCCAAATTTTCTGATATTAATTTAGATTTTGTAGTTATACATTGGGATTCTAAAATGTTGACTGATATAACGGGTAAATCAAATATAGACCGGCTACCAGTTGTTGCCACAGCCCCTGGCATAGAGCAACTACTTGGAGTCCCAGGCCTCACATCATGTACGGGATCCGAGGTATCATCTGCAGTTTATGACATATTACTCGAATGGTCGTTGGAAGATAAAATTAAAGCTATGGTAGTTGACACCACTGCTTCTAATACAGGTCGATTGAATGGAGCATGTATTCTTTTGGAAAAAAAATTAGAAAGAAAACTTTTATTATTAGCCTGCCGTCATCATATGTATGAAGTTGTCTTAGCAGGTGTTTTTCTGAATCAAAGCTCTCTGTTATGTCCGGTCCAGATACACCTATTTTTAAAAAATTCCAAAAAAATTGGCCAAACATAGATAAGTCAAACTATTCCACTTTTGAAACTGATCAAGCGATTTATGACAAACTAAAAAATGTATCCACAGAAGTATTGTTATTCGCAGAAAAAAAAATCAGGGAAGAATTAAATAGAAATGATTATAAAGAGTTTTTAGAATTAATTATAATATTTCTAGGAGGAAAACCTCCAAATGGTACCAACTTCCGACAACCTGGCGCCTATCATCTGGCAAGGTGGATGGCGAAATCCATTTACTGCCTAAAAATATTTATGTTTAAACAAAAATATATATTAATACCTGGAAAAGAGTGTTCAATCAAAGAAATATATTGTTTTATTATTACATGTTACGCAGAACAATGGTTTAACTGCATGAATGCTATCGAGGCACCATTCAATGATATTATTTTTTTAAAAAAATTAGTGTCATATAAAAACATCAATAAAAAAATAGCAGAAGTAGCGATAAAGGAATTTATTAACCATTTATGGTATTTAAATGACGAATGTATATTATTTTCATTATTTGATGAACGATTTAAAATAGAAGAAAAAAGAAAAATGGTGGACATTTTAAAAGAAAATAATGATGATAATATAGAAACTCTAAAAAAATTTTCATTAAAGCCAGAAGAAATAACAGATATCTTAAATCGCGATTTACCAACAGACTTGTTTACACCACATACATTCAGTACATTGTCTCGGTTCAATATTTGTACTGATTTTTTACAACTAATAGATCCACTTGAATGGCCCAACAACGAAAGCTATTAAAAAGCACGAAGTATCCTAATTTCATTAAAGGTAGTTAATGACACAGCGGAGAGAAATGTCAAGTTGATGAAAGAGTTTAATCAAAAAGCGACAAAAAATGAAGAACAAAAGCAATACTTATTACAAATTTGTACCAATAAATATTAGTTTTAACTATGATATTAAATAATTAAAAAATATAATATAACATAATAAAACTTATTTTTCAGGTTGTTCAAGACTACAGAAAAATGTATCCATCATTTAACCGACAATGTCTATCAAATTTATAATAAAAATGTCCTTAATATTTTTGAATATATAATAGTAAAAAATATTTTTCAGTATCTTAAAATATTTTTTATATTCGATTTTTTTTTATATGAAATAATGGATTAAATAGAATTTATATATAATGACATATTTTGTAGACAGTATATTTCTCTATAATTAATAATTAAAAATTTTTTTTGTAAAAGTTTTAGTTTTTAAAATAACTAAAAAAATTTAAAAAAACCGAAAAAACCCCTTTGGGCCTTTATTTAACCCTATTGCGGCACGTGAAGGGGTTGAGTTATCAAGTCAAAATGTTTGCAGAATTATTTTTTCTTATCACTTAAAAAAATGGGAGGGTACCTACTCATTTTGAATTTTTTTAATAAGTTTTTTTGGACCACCTTAAATTATTATATATATGTATATGTAGTTTTTCCTTAATGCAGTTGATGATATTCAGATATACCTTCATTATTTTATATACTTTGTATAATTGTATCCCCTTTTCTATATAGGTATTAGGTATGTACGCTTGAATCGTATATCTGTGTATATCCGTAAATCGTCGGAATAAGAGTATGAAGTAAGTTAAGTATTTAGTACCTTGGTACTATGTAGAAAGGTAGGATCTTATAACTAAGAAATTGCTTTGATACGTGCAGCTGTCTCATGTTTAAACAATTATACCTAAAATTTGTCATGAAAAAGTATACATAGTAGTATTAAAATGAACCTATAATTATTGTTTATTCATACATGCGTAATACATGGGTGTCTATGATATTAATTAATATTTTATTTGCTTTAAATTTTATTTGGATTCCTTCTTGCCCGAAATTATAGATCCCTTTATGGGAAAAGGTTGTTGGTTAGTGATATTAGAGAGCCACTACATATTTTAATCGCTCAACATCAACGACAAATTAAAAATAAAAAATGAATTATTTTTTTTTTTAGAGATTTACTATTTAGCAACATATAAGGTTGAAACATATGAAAAAGTAAAGCAGTGATAAAATACATTTTGAACAATATTCTCTTATCCTACTTGTCCAGTGTCTATATAATATATTAATTATGAATTACAAACTAATAAATATATTATTGAATGCACGCGTAATTCATATATGTGTTATTACTTATTAGTTATTTGTAAATTGTAGGTTTCAAATTATTATAAGTAAGATAGGTAGAAAGGTATGACCTTATAAATAATAGATGAGTGATGTATGAACAATTTTGAATGTTTAGAAACACCCAAAAAATGTTATTTAAAAAATATACCTAGTGGTAGCAGTATAACGTAAAATAATATATTAAATTAATTGACCTACTAAAAAACTAATATTTAGATATTTTGATAATACTAGTTTGGGTTACAGTTATAAATTAGATATTATTTATACTGTATAGTATACATTTTTTATGAAGTATTTAATAATGCAATAAATACAAGCCACGTAGTTACACGCGCGAATATTAAAAATATTACGGTGGCAATGCGGCATAATATAAGTGTATGCGTTGTATATTTATTATTTACCCGATCCGTCACAGACGAAGGTCGAGAAAATAACAAATGTCGCTCCGGAATGAGCAAAATCGTCGACCGATCGCCGACTACGAGAAAAAAAAAATGGGCGTAGCTTAAACGTCGCGTGCTTGCGCATCGCGAAAACACTTAACAGCGCATTCTCTCGGCCGTTGTATAAGTTTCGCTTTAGGTGTAGCCAGTGGCGGTTTTGATGAAACATCAAGGGGGGGGCTATTTTCAATTTTTCGGGCCTCCCCTCTCATAATTACATACATCAAATAAAGAACACTTTTTGTTTATGGTCCTATAATAAATTACATATAACTTTTATTTTTTATTTCATAATTTAAATAGTTTAGTTTTATTGGAATACTTATAAAGTATCAGCCTCTGATTTATACTTACCTTTAACCGTATACATGTTATATAAAATATAGTAAAAAGTCTGTAGATTTGACTATAATCTAAAAAAATAAAATAAATATATAACTGAAGTAATAAATTTAAAGCAATTCAAGCATTTAGTACAATTTCAATTAAAAAAAAGGACATGCAAGTGTCTAGGGAGTTGTATAAAAAATTATATTATAAAGCAGTAAAGCACCGTGTAAAATATTTAGATAAACAGCTTAAAACAATTTAACATGTACTTCAAACAAGTCAATTAATCAGCTTATAAATGTTAATTAATTCCATTAAAAACAGTTAACATAGTAATAATAATAATTAAGCAAAAATTAAAATTAAATTATTTAAATTAAAGAAAATTAAATAACAAAATCAATGTTTCTTTTTTTGCTATTTGCTAAGCGTTCTATTATTTTATCTTCTGAAATATCAAGCTCTCGATGAATATGCAATAATGCTAAGCCACAAAGTCTATCTTGAGACATCTTTGTCCTTAACCAAGTCTTAAGCCTGAAGCATTTAAGCGTAAAAGTACATTTTAATATATACTTACTTATCTTGGAATTTAAAATCAATCATAAAATAATACCTCCTTAATGTAGAGAAACTGCGTTCAGCTGATGCCACGCTTATTGGTAAAGTAGCAATTAAAGTCAAAATTTGCTTAATATTAGGAAAAAGTACATATGGACAATTGACAATAGAGTCAATAGCATTATTAGGCACATTTATTTTTGATTCATTATTTACATCGCCTAAAACAAAGTTACAATTGGTTATTGTTAGTAGTTAATTGATAGCATAACATAAATATTCTAATGATTAATGATTAAGTTAGGTATCTACTTTCAAAAACCCATTTGGACTTCCATAACTCTAACTCAGCTCTAAGAACTTCTTTTTGTATGTTCAAGAATCCAAATTTTTCTAATATATCTTCAGTTAATGATTCTATTTTGGTTGGAGTAAAATCTTTTAAATAACATGGAACAATTCCCATTAAAGTCAAAAATATTTTATTTTTATTATTCTTAAACCGTTCTTTTATATCTTCAATGATATTATCAAGTAATGGAATGTACAAGGACCTCATATAATATTCTTCTGGTGAGTTACTAGGGGGATTTGGCCTTTGAGTTTGTCGTTTAGATATTCGTGGATGTTTTGTAACAACATCATGTTTTTTCATTAGTTCTGAAGCTTCCTTATAGATTTTATTAAAATACTGACTACAATTTGTGCGTTTATCGGTTAAGTTATCCAAAACCAGTTGAATACTATCTGTTGCACTAATAAAATCCCTTTCTTTCCCCTGAAGACATTTGCTAATAGGTAATGTAATACTCAGTATATTTGTTAGAGTAAACAGAGTTAAAATAAATTCACAATTCTCTAAAGCACTTATCAACATTTTGGCTTTGGTTGCAGATTCAGATTCTGACCATTCAGATACTGTACTTAATGCAACAAGTATGTCTGAAAATGAGGAAGTAAACAATAAAATACTGTCATGTCTATCAATCCAGCGCGTTTCACATACAGTTTTTAAAGAATGGTTTTTCAAAATACTTTTTAGTACGAAATTCCTTTTTGAAGAAGAATTTAAAAAAGCAACTACTTCTTTGATAATACCTACAGAATTCCTTACAAATTGTACTGTTGACGATTTGGATATACATAAATTTAATGCATGATTTGCACATGGACTATAGATTGCATTTTTTGCAAACTTTTGAATGTGCTGGACAGCACCACGAGCTTTTGATGTCATAACAGAACATCCATCAGTTGTGATTCCAATACAATCATGTAGCTCTAATGAAAATTTCTTTAACAAATCTATAACAATTTGGCCTAAATGTTCACCAGATAATTTTGGTTCAATATTTTCACTACTATCTAGTTTGCTATATGCTTCTTGATGACAATCAATGAATTCAATAAAATTCTCTTTAATTTTATCATTAACAACATAACGTAAAACCAAACTCATTTGTGATACATGCGACAGATCCGTAGTTTCATCAAACATTATGCTGTAAAATCTATTTTCTTTTATTTCTTTGATAATTTCTGATTGTATTTCTTCCTTAAAACAATCAATTAATTGATTTTGAACATTAGAATTAATATAAGTTGCTTTTGAGTGTGTTGTGAGTAAGTGTTGTTCTAATATTTTGTCACCTGATTTAACCCTGTATCTTAAAAGTTCTCTAAAGTTCCCTTCATTTTTCATTTTATGGTGATTGTCATTTGCAAATAGAGCTCCATCATCTCTATGTCCACGCAATGGAATATTTTGTTTCCCCAAAAACATTATAGATTGAATTATAGGTTTTAAACGTTCTCTATTTTCAGTAATTTTTTTCAAACGATCTGCATTAACCAAGTTTAAAATATTTTTTTCAGGATTAAGAATGGTTGATTTAAATTGATCAGCTCTTTGAAGTGCATATTTGTGGTACAAATTGTTTTGATGTACTTCAAGAAAACCATCTTTACCTAACAATTTTGAAAACTTTTTCAAGGGAGTAGTTACAAGTGTTTTTAAATTTTCCGTTTTGTGTTTTCCTCCTAGATTACTTTCTTTAAATAAAACACAAATTTTACAAAAAAGTCCTTCTTTTGAAATTGAATATGCTAACCAGGGATAATTTTTGAAGTGATTTTCTCTAAGAAAACGCTTGCCTTCTTTGCCATTTTTAACATGTACAGAATAAGGATATTCAAAATTAGAAGTTGGGACAGAACTATTTTGAATCACATTCAAGCGTAAATGGTCATCAATTTGAACATTTCCACAGCTAAATAGTCCTACATCCATATTAAAGGGACTTGAATCTTGATCAATTTCAGTCTATAATAATAAAATATAAATAAAAATAGTTTGTCTTACACTCTTACAATGTCATTGTTTTGTATGTATTTATTTGTTTTAACTAATAAGTAGGTAATCACATTTAAAATACATTTTTACAAATAAAATAAAATTGAATTGTTATCTTCAATCAAATGTATAAAATATTTATCTTATAGTTGTTGGTAACTGCTAAAAAAATACATTAACGAATAATATTTAAGTAAGTAGTAGACACTTACAGTTTTAGCAATTTTAGAAGGAACAGTTTCTGTGT